ATTAATACAAGCACTAATAATCAAAAGGCCATATCTTTATTTCTTATCAAAGTTACTCAGTCTTTATCTAATTGTGGGTTGTCATTGTGTGGCTTTTACTACTAATAATTTATACTTGTACATCTGTTAAACTCACCTTTCAGCAATACACTACTGATGTATATCACCTTGATAAACAAGCACAGTGACAAATATCAGTTATTATTATTATTATTGTATAGGAAGTGATTGAAATAACTGAAGAATTCAAGACACCATTGACTCCAATAAAGCTAGGTATGTTATAATATGTACTATCACAATTGTCAGGTAGTGGGGTGTAGACTGTACAGTGTATATACACATTATTAATTATTATTTTATAGATATTAAAGATCTTGATATTGTCATTGAAGAGCTAACAATACTCAATCATTTACCTCGCCATATATGGTATGATCTTGGTCTTCAGCTAGGACTCTATCAGCCTACACTAGAAGACATCAACAAAGATAATGGAGACTCTAAGAAGTGCTTCAGAGAGTGTATGTCTGCCTGGTTAAGAGAAGAAGATAAAGTGAGAGAGAAAGGAGGTCCCAGTTGGTCATCATTAGCTACAGCACTGGATAAAGAAGGAAAGCATGATATTGCTACTAACATTAGAGATAAACTTTGCAAAGTATAATAACATAAGGATGTTGCCTGTAGTATATTATTTTGTTCTGTTCACATTATTTTTGTTAATGCTTGCAGATTCACATGTATTTCTATATTTAGAATTACCACTGATAGTATCAAACTACATGTATGTTTATTATTAGTAACATTGTTATTTTAAATAGTTGTTGTTAGTTTCAAACTACCGTATTTCCTTAAATAAAAGCCCGGGCGTCTATTTCCTAAAAATGATACTTGGACCTCCAAAAAATATATAAAAAATAAAAAAACTTTGGCCCAGAGCGGGATTCGAACCCGTGGCCTCAAGCTTTTGACTTCGGGAACTTCAGGCATTACCCACTAGACTACTGAGTCACTCCTAGGCTGGTGTTACGTATTTATAGTTTAATTCTATTGCTACCCCGGCGTTTATTCGAATACGGCTTCTATTTAAGGAAATACGGTATGTTTATTATTAATGTTGTTATTGGAATTAGTTATGAATCTTGATACTATAGGCCACTAACATCAGGAGATCCATGTAGCACATGGACTACATCCAAATATCAGCACACACACAGATGGTGAATATGTATGATCCTAAATGTTTAAAATGTTTAAATCTTTTAGTTTTGGTGTAATGTCATTCTACACAGCTTCAAATCATTCAATATTATGCAATTGTATTGTTTAGTTGAAATTGAGCTGTTAACTTGAACTAAAACAGGCTCTTAGCCTCTTGTACCCAATGGGAGTGAATTATGTACCGGGATAAGTTTTAGAAATTACTTTTAAAATTATAATAAATTATAAGTGACAATTATGCTGTATTAAGAAGAAAATGACAAAATAATTAATAAATAGTGTAAGTTATAATAGTCTTTCTTTCTCAGTACGTGGGCCAACTGTTCCTTCAGACTCCCTCTCTACAGCAGCTGGTGAATAAACCCCTTTTCTCCTACTCTTCCTCCTTACAATCCTCAGACCAACGACAACAACAACAACAACAAGAAACAACAACAACACAAAAACAACAACAGCTAATATTATAATAGAAAGACGAGAGGTGCCTTCATCATCATCAATAGGCTCCACAATGAGACAATCCACTCCAGTATAACCTCTGAAACAATTACAAGTGTAACCACCAAACTCATTCTGACACGTTCCATTATTACAAATAGTTGTATTAGTCTCAGCACATTCATCAATATCAGTTTGACAATGATCTCCAGTAGTACCTGGTGAGCACATACAAGAGTAGCTACCATGTATATTCATACAAGTACCAGTGTTACATATAGGGACTGTAGTGTCACATTCGTTGAGATCACTTTCACATCTAGTGCCTGTAAAGCCAGGATTACAGGAGCAGGTGTAGTTACCGATAGTATTAGTACAATTACCGGTACCAGTGCAAGGGAGGGGGAGGGAGAGACACTCGTTGATGTCCTCGTTGCATTGGGAGCCATTGAAACCAGTTGGACACAAACACACGAAACCACCGAATATATTTAAACAGGTAGAGCCTTGAGTACAGCCATGATCACCTTCAGCACACTCGTTGATATCAATATCACAATAAGGACCAGTTACTCCTCCAGGACAAGTACATATATACCCACCATCAGTGTTAATACAGGTGCTACCTTCATAGCATGTATTAGTACCATCACTGCACTCGTTAATGTCAATCTCATATTTCTCCTGTGAATACAGTCCCAGTGCAATTACAATTGTATTTTTCAGATTTTGGCCTATTAAAATAGCTGTAACTAAAATAATTTAAGTCGGAATCAATTCAAACTTAATTTCTAAACAGCATTATAATGTGATTATGTATCAGAAAATGTAATAATTGGTGTGATTTTTTAAGGCATTTTTTGGAAAAAAGCATGGGCTAGAATAGGGCTATTATAGTATAGGGTATTTTTTGATTTTGGCACATTTCTTAAAATGGCCGTAACTTGAAAAATTTAATTTAAGTCGGAATCAGCTCAAACTTTTTACACAGCATAAGGACATCAATATTTATCAGAAAATGTAATAAAAATTGCAAGTGATTTTCTAGCCATTTTTTGGAAAAAAAGCATGGGCTATAGTACAGGGTATTTTTCTGATTTTGGCATATTTTTAAACTATGGCCGTAACTTGAAAATTTAAGTCTGAATCAGCTCAAACTTTTTACACAGCATAAGGATGTCAATATGTATTAGAAAATGTAAGTAAAAATTGGGACTGATTTTTAGCCATTTTCCAGATTTTCATAACTATTAATAACTAGAATAGTTAATTAATCATTTGAATTTTGAATTCAAAGGGTTAATTTTTATGAAGTTTCTAAATTATTCTGTAAGAAAGTTTTCAGAGAAAGTACCAAGGAAATGGTCTATTTCAGGTGTGAATCACGTGATCCCTTGCCTCTGGTAAAGGTGGAGTTGGAAAGTCTACAACAGCTGGTAAAGAAATAATATATTTAGCAGTGCATTTGCAAATAAATTATCATTATTCAATTAATTATTAATTAGTAGGGGCTGAGGGTCGGTCTGTTAGATGCTGATGTGTATGGTCCATCATTGCCACGTCTAATGAACCTCTCAGGACAACCTGAACTGGATAAATGTTTGTATATTATTAGTATATTCCAGTATATTGTCAGTATATTCTATAGAGGACAAGATGATACCACTGACCAATTATAATGTAAAATGGTAATTTATTATTATTTAAAAATTATTTATTGTTATTATTTTTAGTATGTCAATGGGTTTCTTAGTAGAAGAATCAGAGCCGATAGTCTGGAGAGGATTAATGGTAATTAATAATAATTAATAATTAATTACATGTATATGTACAGGTAATGTCAGTAATACGAAGGTTATTAAGAGGCGTGGCCTCGGGGTCTATTGGATATATTAGTAATTGATATGCCACCTGGAACTGGGGACACTCAACTATCAATATCAGAGAATATACCTGTGTCTGGTAATTAAACAATAATCCCCTTATTTAATATTGTTTATTGATTTTTATTTACTGATTGTTAGTTTATTACAGTATGCATGTAGATGTTGTTGTTGTTGTTCGTTTATTTGTTTGTTGGTAGGTGTGGTTTTAGTGTCGAATCCACAGGATCTCTCATTACCTGATGCTAGGAAAGGACTGAGCTGCAATGTTTAAAAAAGTTAACATACCAGCTTAAACCCTGGTAGTGAATACATGCATAAATACCAATTCCCTTTTCTTTCCTGTCTTTTTTAAAATTGGAAATAATAGAGTATATCTCTTGTTTAATTCTCTTCATTTTCTCTTCCTCCTTCTCTATGTTCATTAGGTTTATGGTATTATAGAGAACATGAGTGGTTATGTCTGTCCTAATTGTGGACATCAGTCAAACGTGTTTGGTAAAGTAGGAGGAGCTGACAAACTGTCTAAAGATGTGGGCGTGGGCATAATAGGTTACTATAGCAACATGTCATCATTGATATCATCTTGATCAGATAAAGGTCAACCAATAGTTATATCAAGGCCTGATAGTTCTCAGGTATATTTAATAATTAATTAATGTTGACATGTTGTTCTATTTCATTATACAGGCTAATTCATATAAGAATATAGCTGAGAGGGTTCTGGAATTATTGCCACCTTCAGCAGACCCCCATCAGTAGTATGAATAGTAGTTCTGTTTAGTGAGCCCCCAAGTTTAGGAAATAGGAACCCTGTGTAATTACTATTTTTTACCGGCACTGAATAAATAGTCTAGCTGTAGCTGATAGTGTATACTTAGCTGAATTGTATTTTGTATACAAAAAACTGTCGTTTTTTATATAGACTATAGCCAAATTTGATTTGTATTATCATCTTAAATAATGAATTTTAATTCATGATGATGTGTGGGCGGGTATCAATGAATCTAACTAGAAGAATGCTAGTCTCGCCACGTGGGGGGGGCGAAGGGGCGTGGCGAGACTATAAAGGGGCAAGCCTAAGCAAGCTATAGATTATGTGCTGTATGATCTACATGTATGAGCTAGCAAAGTAATCACGCTGTCAAAATTCAGTAGATATTGTTGCAGTCATCTTGATTAATTTTTTGCATCTATTCTTCACTTAAGAATCTCTGCAGCAATTAAAGCCATCTTGCTTATAGTCAGCTAGAAGTAGTCACTGAACAAATCATATTTGAAGATTGTACATCTGCTTTGTTAACCTAGGCTTGAGAACATAGATCCCATGCATGCAGCTATGACTACATACACTTGGAATTAACTTATCAGAGTCCTTTATATCAAACAAGCGTAACAGTGTAAAAAATATTCCTATAATTGATTTCACCACCTTGCAAGTACAACTTGGTCATTATTAAGACTTATAGAGGTTCTCTCTACCTTCAAATGCTTCTAGAGAAGTTTTTAAACAGTATCTTTATGTTCCCTTGCTGTTAGAAAGCTCTTAACTTTGTCCCATGTGTAAGCCGCCATTTTGTTTGCCGTGACCACACCCACTACGTAGGGAGCGTGGGCGGGTGGTTGCTAAGGCTTGTTATTTCTCCAATACAACATGTATAGAAGAAATGTAAGTGTGGACATACAAATACCGTAGGTCGGGATATATTCGCGGCTGCAATTATTCGTGGTCATAAAAAATTCAATTAAAAACCATGGAAACTGTTAGAGCGTTGCTATGACAATTAAGACCACGTGTTTAGTGTTCAGCTATTCATCTGTTCTTTAGCAGCTATAGTGGAGCCATTCACCAATAGCGAGTCCTTCTTTATCTGTTAACTTCTTGTATGGACCGCTACCTCAGAGCTCTTTCAGCCTCTTTGCTGCAAATTGTTGCTGGTCCGCGTGCTGGTGATAATAAACCACGCCCAAGTCAATAAACACTAATTAGAATGGGTGGAGGGTCCCAAAATACGGCGAGGCACTAGTCCTGAAAAGAACCGGTAAAGCAGCTCCAAAGAGCCCAAGGCTTAGTGACACAAGAAGAGCAACAGCTCAAGAACACTGCAGCAAGGTGCTTTTCTTCACTATCGCGCCGTTTTCAATTAAAATAACACCTTGGTTTCCATGGTTTTTAATTGAAATTTTTTATGACCGCGAATAATTGCAGCCGCGAATATATCCCGACCTACGGTATATACCGTACAGCTGGTTAATTTTGCGGAGAAAAATTTTGCGAATCCTTAAAAATAACCTGGTTTGCGGATTAAATATTTGCGGTTTTGACAGTTATTGTAGCATTACCTACTGTGGTCATGCATGAATTTCATTATTTTGCGGATTTAAATTTTGCGCTTTAAATGGAATCGCAAACTCGCAAAATTTAATTCCCCGCAAATATTTCCTGCTGTACGGTATATACAAACATCGCACGTGGTTGAAATCAATTATAGGAACGA